AAAAAATCTTTGTCTAATTTCCACCAAACAAACTGTTCATTACTTTCTTTATCAAAAAATCTGATCCCTTTTCTCAACTCTGATTTCACCAACACAGTTATACCACCCGAGTTTCTCCAAGCTCTATGAGGTTTTTGCCTAAACTTGGAAAATGAGTAAAATCCTTGTATATTTACTGCACTATCATTTTTAAGCCAATTCTCAACAAGAGTAATGCAATCAAAAGAATTAATTGTTGACAAGAAATCCTCATCATCCAGTTTTCCTAAAAGTCCCTCAATATTCCAGGAACAAAATTTTAAAAGTTTTTTCATCTGCATTAACTAATTCTTACAATAATAAAAGAAGTATTTTGACTTGTAACACCTTCAAAACTAAGGTATGGAAGGCTGGCTAACAGCCGAACTATACAGTGGGAAAAAAGATGGAGGAACTGCAGACTGCGGATACATCGTTCTACACTGCTGTAAGTTACTTGACACTAGGGTATTAACTAACTTATTTAATGTACTTAGCTGGGAAAAGACATCATTGATTCCATTATCCTTCTTTGTTTCATGTTCTTTGCTGACTTCGGTAGACTGTGTAGCAATGCCATACCGTTTTCTCAGTAGATCTTCCGGTCTTAGTAGAGGATTTACAGAGCTTCCATAACGATGTTGATCATCACTATGATAGGATGAATAACGAGGTTGAGGGTATGGAGCACGATCATCGGGTCGGATATGATGCAGATCATCACTATGAAAGGATGGATAATGAGGTTGAGGGTATGAAGCACGATCATCAGGTCGGATCTGATGCAGATCATCACTATGATAGGATGCATAACGTGGCTTGTTGTCCACAACACCACTTGCCACTCTAATTGCTTTCTTGATGTTCGCTGCAAACTTACGAACACCCCGATTCCTATTTAAGTGCTTACGGTCAAAATACAATACTCTGTCTCGTAGATTATCATTGTTCACATAAATAACATCAGCGAAGTTTGAAATTTCACTTTGGATTGTTCGGTTTATTGCCCGAATGTCTTCATCAAAATCGTCATCTCGTGGAGTAACACTCGAAACAATGATCTTTTTTCCTGGGAATGCCTTCCTAGCTGTATCTAACATCTCTAACTGCTTCTGAATAACCTCGTCTAACGTTAAGTGTTCAACGTCATTAACACCTGTGTTTATTATAAGCGCTTTGTTAACCTGGAAACGTGGTGAAGATATGATTTTAATTGCTTGACTGGAAGTACCACAAGGGATGATTTTTACCGTACTATTAGGGCATAACAGCTGTGTGTTGATGAATTTTCTGTTGGAATCACATAGAAAGACAAAATCATACTCTTCCAAACTTTCTTGATCATTCACCTTTTTTCCGCCTTGGTTTTCAACAGTTTGCTCATTGGGATCACCGCTTTCTGAAGGACGTGCTTCTTTAGACAAGATAGGACCACTTTCTTCTTTAGTTATTAGGACCTCGGATTCATCAATTCATTCACAAAATGTTTCAGACGATAAATTTGTCAACAATCACCTTTAGTTCATGTTCTTGTACAATACAATTTCTTGAACCTTCTGGCTGTATTTATTTCTAGTTTTTTAGAATGACATGTTTATTTTTGCGCTTGAAATCTGGCTGTAAAGACGCACAATGAAGTCACTCCTTTTTACCGCCATTTTGAGCCTTCGGAAACGTTCGGAACAGCTTCTCATCAAGTTCGCAATACTATTACAGGAAAGGTTGACGCATGCGCAGACGTTTTTCCGCGGTGTTGTTACGCCTATTATAAATGCAACACAATATTACGCATGCATTCATAAAACATCCAAATCGGTCCTTATCCTTAGTATACGATTGTCCCAGGGGTCGGTTGAATGAAGGCTGGATAGCGCTATTCACCAGATTTTTCAACCGTTGTGAAAATGCTGAAAAATGACTAAGACTACGTAGGAATATGGATCCCACAGTTATTAAAAGGAAACTTCAATTTTTATATATTAAAGTTTAATATGGGTTATGCCAATCAATGGCCAATTTAAGACATCTTGAAAAAATCACTATTCGGCATTCTTTTAAATTGGCCGTTGACTATTATAACCATGCACTGATCTAATATTAAAAACTTTAACATATAAAAATTGAAAAATCACTATTCGTAACAAGTTGCTACAAGCTTGTCGTCATCAACTTTTGTTAACAACTTGTTACGTACAGACAATATCAGACTTGTTTCATCTTTTTTTTGCAGTAAACTAAATGAAGAGGAATTGTGATTTGTGGGCTTGAATGGCACTTTTACAGCCATTCTGGAGAGTTAGGTTTTGGAGGTTCTGTCATTTTATCCAAATATATAACAAAGACTATTGAGTATTGTGTAAAATTTATGTTAGGAAAACAAGAAACCTTTCCCTTTACTTGACATTTCTGCGGTAATTAAGGAGGAAATATTTTCGTTTGTAATTTCGAGAAATAACCGGCGAAAAATGCAACTATCACTATCAGCCCTCTGGCAGGAATCAAACCTGCTGCCCTGCATTTCCGGTGCAGCGCTCTAACCAACTGAGCTACAAATCACTTCCACGATTAGTTATAACGAGTGAGACGCCCAAAACCCTGAGACAAGCATAATGATATACTCACGCAACAACAGCTGTGAAAGGCAAAGCAGAACGATACTCGTGAGCTAATTCCAACCCTTGGGCCTTTTCAAGAACCAAACGATAACATTGATTTTCAATGATCTTTCTAGCAGCCTTGGGATGATTAGAGCAACAAAATAATGTGTATGCTGCAACCACTTTCTGGTAAGAGCTAGAATCATTGGATGTAAGCCAGGAGAGTTTTGATAAAACTTCCTGGTTCTCAGCTAAAATTTGTTGGATGTCTGGCAGCTCGACATATCTAAAATGAACAAGATTTATTTTGGTGATTCTTCTTCCACTTATGTTGACTTGGTTAATTTCGTAAATTGACAGTCCATTAAGTGTTCCAAATGACATCACAGGGCACAGTCGATGCCGTATCCACCTGCATTCATATCCAGTGCACTTACAAGAAGCATTCACCCCCTGAAAATATTCAAACTGGTGGATGCTCTTTCCTCTACTAAAGAACATCTGGTGCTTCCACAGGCAGCCCAATCTCGCAAGGGTCAGTATAGTAATGTATATTATAGTAAAAATACGTCATAACATATACATTTTAAAATGAAATTGACTTGCCTATTTTATGACATATTTTTACTATAATATACATTAATATACTGACCCTTGCATCATGAAGTATGCTCAAAAGCATATTCACAGGATTTGGTACTTGCATGCAAGCGAAAAAAGAACTCGACCAGTATCCTATTACCTCTGTGCTATTACCTCTCGCTCAGTCAAGTGAGTCAACAACATTTACTTCGTGTCAAACTATAGGGATTTGCCAATCGTTTTGTTATAAATGTCCGTGAATGCAGCCCCTTTCAGGGCCAATAAAAAATTGAAATAACACTATACATAGTATTTTGAATGCTTAATTCATCAAGAATATCACAAGACGACTTCATTACAAGAATTTATATACAACAAAATCTATCATAATCCTTACGGGACGGCAATTATTTTTCAGTGCGGGTTTATATAGGACAACTACAAAATTCTTTCTCATGTACAAGAAGATTACCTACAACACGTGGACCGGCGTGGCGTCCCAAATATTATCACCTTTTTGTGTCAGCCCAATAACCTAACAAGGCTCAGACAATGTGTGCGCATGCGCAATCATCGCTTTGAAAAACATTTCGCACAAATGGATCGTGTTACGTTACGACTTATAAACCATCAAGATCGTTTGATCGAACTTTATACTGTTCAGGGACGTCGCTAGGGATGAGGGTGACGAATATTACAAAAATCATGCAGCATGATTAAAAGCATGCTCATGAGCATATTACATGATTTGGTCACAGAGTAGATACATGCATTACTAGATGCATGCATCTGATTGGATGACGACTTGCTTTAATTGCTCGCGGAACTTGCCGAGCACGCGCAATCTCGTGCATGCAAAATATTTTCTTAATAAAATGACTTATATTAATTCCCAGGATCATATATAAGCTTGGATTTTAGAGAAAAAAAAGTTTAGGGTTGCTTTTTATTTCTAAATTTAATATTTTAATAATATCTAAGTTTTTAATATATCTTTAGAAGTTTAATATTTTAATAATTAATTAATATTAATTATTCTAAGCATTTCAACTGAGCAAATGAACCTAAATAGACCTACATTCATACATACTGCATTTAAGTCAGTTAGCCTTTTTTGGGTGGCAAGATAAGTCCATATAACAGCAACTTCTTATAAATGTTTGGACGAATGATGGTAAATTTGCTTTGTATATGTTTAGACTTAGATTATTTTGAAAATCTGCTTTTCACATTGTTTTAATTTTCTGCATTGGTTAACGAGAATTACATGCTACCCAAAAATGGCAGATATTCGTCATCGTGAGAAAGGCTAATTTAAAAACATTGCACACTACTGTAGGCGGGGTTTGGATGATGATGGGAAGGGGGGAGGGGGATAAAATCTGTATGATTCTTAGGGGGATGGCTGTTAAGACGTGTCACTTGAGAAGGAGGGGGTTATAATAATATTTTTAAAAATATCTGAGTGTTACCAGCCCCCTCTGACATAAATAATGAATGCTCCCTAAAATGGATAAAAAATGAAGAAATGGAAATTGGCTTCTTACTGCGATAAACATCCCATAGAGGCTTGGTTAACACGAATGCAAACATCCTCTCCAATGTCGTCGTCAATATCTCGTGAGACTTTCAGAAGAGAGTGAATGAATGGCTCTAGACCAATCTTTCTTAAAACCATCTGACGATCTTCTTTAATTTCAGAGAAACGCCACAGACACTTAAGACAAAACACTTCCAATTCATTTTGTTCACAATTAAAATACTTCGCTGTTTGCAAGTCCCTCTCACTAAAATAACAAAAATGATGAAGGTTTCCAACCTGGTACCCTGCAGGGTCTTTCCTCTTGTGGAGAAAAGACCCTGGTAGACGCTGGTCACGTGATCTGCTAAAATCTAGCAGATTTCTAATTACAGTCATTGTCACACAATATTGCAATATTGATCGGCTGATTAACTCTAGCAAATTGCAACCGACGTGAACAAATTGCAATTTTTACGTACAGTAGCAGTATTAAACCGTCAACTGCAAAATTCAAAAGTTTATAATAAGATTCGGAAGCAAGTTTGTAAATAAAACCTGATTGGCTGCTAGTACAAAACAAGCCAATCAAATGCTTGGCATTGACATTTGGGCGCAACCTTTCGACAAATTGTCAACACGTAAAAATTGCAATTTGTTCGCGAAGGTTGCAATTTGCTAGAGCAATCAACCAATCAATATTGCAATATTGTGTGACAATATTGCAATGTTGCCTGCAATGGAACACCGGATTTGACTGTAACTATGATCTTGGATTCCTTTACGACAATCATACAAAAAGCAAATTATAAATTAGACTATAAAAATTATCCAAATATCAATTATTTATTGACCTCATCTTGGGTTGTTAATTAAAGATGATGTCCACTCCATTCTACACATCAGTTCTGCTCATAACAAAGGGGACCCCCAGATATAAACATTGCCCAAATTTTGCATCTTTCGAACTTTTTTGAATTGAAACGTATAGTTTATATTCATTTACAAGTATAGCGAACCAGAAAAGTGTTAGATATTCAGTTAGTATATCATATTTTACAAATATAGCAGTTCAAAACGTAAACAAAGTTCACACATGCGCACAGGAGTGGACATCATCTTTAAAAATCTGCTAAATTTTAGCAGATCACGTGACCAGCGTCTTTTCTCCACAAGAGAAAAGACCCTGGGTACGAGGTTGGAGGGTTTCTTGGTGATCAACCCATTAAGTTGCATTGCACCCTACTTTATTGTTTTACTCTTACTGTACATTGTTTTAAAGCCATATGACTTATCCACTCACAACCTAATTGTTGGGGACTGTTCATGTGAGCCAGGCCAGCCCGGCTAGCTGGGATGAATTGTGTGACGAAAATGTTTTCCTAACCATGCCTGTAAACACGAAGCTCTAGGAAGATGTTCTGTGACTGGTTGACCATGACAATGACAAAAGACGTAATTGGCTTACATAAACAAAAGGAATATTGTTCTTGCTTCATTCTTTAGAAAATCCATTCTATAGCTTATTCTTTTGTCATTGTCATAATCAACCAATCACAGAACATCTTCCTAGAGCTTCATGCCGACCCAACCATGCAAATGCAATGACCATAATTATCGCTTGAATGAACTTTATACTGTTACCGGAACTTTGAAATGTCATTTTGGATGTTTATCAAAGCTGTGATAAGAACCCTACTAAATGAATTATCCCGAGTTGACTGGTGTCCCAGGATTTTTGCCCCCCCTACATTTTTGCCCCCCGGGGGGGGGCGAATTTCCTAGGAATATCGCCCCCCAGGGGGGCGAAAATCCTAGGAATTTCGCCCCCCCTTTAGGAAATTTGCCCCCCTTTAGAAACTTCACCTTTTCTTTAGGATTTTTGTCCTCCGTTCAAAATTTCACCCTTCCTAACAGTTGCATGGGATAATTATTACATGGCTTTAATCATTTGAAATCAGTATCAATTCAAAATTGTTAAGACAGAGCTTGAAATAACAACCGATCACCGATCAATGATCGGCAAGGAATTGCTTATGATCGGCGGAAAAGCAGGGTTTCGGTTTCCAACCTGAAAAAATCAGGGAAAGTCACGACTGCCGATCACCATGATCGGGAACTTTGGGAACGTTATTTCAAGCCCTGCATGTAAGAATACAAATTTACAATTACATGTATCGAAAGGGCTTACACAGTTACAGTAGATCAATAGGACTTATGACGCTTCACAGCACACCATGCATATTTTGCATTTTCAGTGTTAATCCTTAAACTCATTGTTAAAAAGTAATCACCATGGTGGTTATTGTAATTATTGGTATTGTTTTGCATTTTTTTTTCTTTCGTTATCGGAAAATGTATGGTTTGTCACTATTTTTTACTTGCATTATTTCAATATAGTTTGTAAATCTCAGAAGCGAAGGGTAGAACTTGCCAATAGGCAATAATCCAATAATATACGTTTCAAAAAAGACAAGAAAGCTTTTAGTTTTGCAGAGTTAATTCTCAAATGTTTAAGGCATGCACTAATAAAATCAAAGTATCATGAAATTATTTGAATAAACCACACAAAAAAAAATTATTTGAATAAACCACATATATAATGCAATTTTCTTTGCGGAAGTGAAGAATCAAGATTACATCACTGACACGGAAAGTTGACGATTCAACGGACAATAATCAATACGCTTCCCAACACGTTCCATAGATTTTTTACTAATCCTATAGTTGATTGTTAGCAAGTGATTACTGTGGCGGCTATTGTTAACACTCGTATTGATAAAATTTGCAAGCGATTGTTTTTATAATATGTTATGTGAATGTAAACTGCCAGAAGAATACGACAACATGATTTTATGCGATCTCTGTGATGGTTCCACTTTAGATGTGTAGAATATGACACTAGTCTAAGTACCTCAAATGAGTGGTTATGCAGACTGTGCACACCACCAGTTGCTAAGAAGCCTAAAATGTGTATATAATTTTGTCTCCTTGTAATAAATAAATAAATCACACAATAAATCTTTTCAACTTGCAATCGTTTTGTTTTTAGATCAAAAATTCAAAATTTATATGGGGGGGGGGGCAGCGAAATTCCTAAAGGGGGGCAATATTCGCTCCCATTTTGAGAGGGGGAGCAAATCTCCTGGGGGGGCGAGTCTCCTGTGACACCGGCTCCATATCCCCTTACATACCATGTTGTCAATGGATACCGCTTTTTAGAAGCAAAGTTATAGATAGTAGCCAACAGATCCAATCCACCTTCTTGCACAAAATAATGTTTGTTTGCAATTGTTAGCTTGGATTTCCATGGTTTAAACATATCTCGGGAGTATCTCTCTAAACCTTGTAACACAACTGCATAACAATTTTCAACTGCTGATAATCTATCAGCATTCCAGTCAATATTTTCCATTATTCGATCCCCGTCTGAAAATGCTTCGCAAACATCTTTTACAAACGCTCTCATATCATCAAGAAATTTCGATAACAAATGTAACTTGCACACGCTTGTAAATTTAACAATAAACGTATCGCCTTCTCGCATATACAAATTCAATATTTTCTTTCTGTTTTCTAATTCCCGTCGTGTCTTGTGGTAAACAGACATATCACATGCCGCAACACTGAGTAAGGGTTGTAGCTTCTTCTTTAAATCGCCAATACATTCGATGTTGTTTAAATTTATTTTTAAATCTGATGTTTGATATGGCACTGGAAATTCACTTTCGATAAGAATTTTAACCTCCATGTTTGAAACTCTTCGATATAAAAATAGGTACGCGCTGCGTACATGTGGGCAACCTCGTTCCCAGGCTCTTTAGGAACGAGGTTGACATGTGGGTAGCCTGCATTAATTGTTGTTAGTATAATTACATAGGTGATTATTGAAAATTCTCCACGCTGATTGGTTGCCGTTGAGGTGATTATTACGCGATAATCACCTAAAGCCTGCAGCACACGAGAGCTATCTGCTGAGCCAAAAGTTACTCGTGCCTGTTAGCTCAGCCGATAGCTCACCGATCAAACATGTTTGATACGTGAGAAAAGGTTGCCCGAGGCAAAAAACTCAGTAAAATGTATCCGCACACGGTGAGCTATCGGCTGAGCTAACAGGCACGAGTAACTTTTTGCTCAGCAGATAGCTCTCGTGTGCGGCAGGCTTAAGCGATTTTCAAAATGGCGGCCGAAGCCTTTTTGTCAATTAAATGACGAAGAAATGTGTATTTTCTTATTTTTTTCCAAATAATCACCTATGAAATTATACTAAAACAATTATTCACCTCAGGCTCGGTGATTATCGTGAATAAAAACCTCGACTTCGTCTCGGTTTTTATTCACCGATAATCACCGAGCCTTCGGCGAATAATTGTTAATTAAAGCTGGAGTAATACGCGCAACAAAATTGCTGCAACAAAATTTCTGCAACAAATGCTGATTTCAACGCATTTTAAGTAGAAATGTTGACAAAATATTTAAATTAACATGCGCAGAAATCAGATTTTGTTGCAAGTTGCAGCAATTTTGTTGCCCAGCCCATATTAGTATATTACTCCACCTTAATTGCTATTGTCAAATTCCGAATTTACTGAAAGAAAGTATTAAGTAAATTGAACACAATTCAAATATTATACACACATTTAATCACATACTGAACATCAGATATGACAAAAATACGTAAACGACTGTTACGTGCATTTTTCAATAAGCATAAACAGATATAAGAAGTTACAAAGTATTTCAATGTGTCAAAAATAATTTGCACACTGAACAGACACAACAGTACAAGGTCGATCAGCTTTAATATGTATACGAAACAAAATACTTCACACGCCGAAATACAGACAGTACGAAAAACACTTAAGACAAGAACAGTTCTTGTTCAAGGATAGCATACATCAAAGACAAAGGATCAGGTTTACAGGCTGCGTATATACAATTTTCGTGAAGTTTGAGTTTCAAGGATAGTCCATGCAAAGATCTAAGGACGATGTTTTGCGGCGGAGTTGAAAAAGATCAACATATTCTTTATTTAGTGATGATTGAATTAATTAAACAACGACATAATCGATCCCATATATATTGGTAATGACATTCAACTTGCTTTCAATATTCGACAAATATATATACTTCGTGTGCTAATTTTCCACTGCCTAATCCTTGTGTAAACCGTGCTTGGCTTTCTATTTGCCTTAACTTACACATTCGACTAACCCGATTCCAATGACGTGGCCTTACAAACATTATGTAAGCAACGACATACTTGATTCTATATACCTATATGTTCGTCAACATTCCTTCGATATAGACTAACGTAAATATATCCAATCGTCGCGCGCTATATCATTAATTACTATATTTTTCTAATACGTATAAAATGTTTGATCAAACTGATATATCGTGTTTAAATATGACATTTAACAAATATAAAACATTTTCCGTGTTGATATACAGTTATATCAACACGAGTGGAATTGGGAAAACGAGAAATTGTATGGAAACACGACGCCCGAAGGGCGGAGTGTTTTCATACAATTTCGAGTTTTCCCAACTTCCACGAGTGTTGATATAACTATATATCAATACGGAAAAAATGTTTTATATTTTTTTTATAATATAGCAATGTCAAAAGCCGAAGGATAAGAAAAATTTCCGTGTTTACAAGCGGCACAAAATTTCCCGTGTTGACATTGAGTTATATCAACACGGCTCTTAGCCAATCAGCGTTCAGAATTTACAAATGCTATATTATAATACACGATATAAAACAGACCCCGTGGCTAATATTAACCCCAATGACCCTTGTACAAGCTGTGATTATAAAGACAACGACATATTCGATTCTATATGGGTTGGAAATGACTATCGACCTGACAAAACATATTACAATAAAAACTTTACTAAGAATTTATACACATCTCTGTACAGTATGAGCGTTAGTGAACTTAGCCTGTGGTCTATAGACGGTTCGTATTTCAAGGATAAAAGGAACCGCGCAGCAGGACACCGTGGACACGAAGGCTACAGAGCCACAGAGAAACCACAGTTAATAGAAATAGGAGAAACAGAGCCACGGAAGATCTAACCTGCGTAGCAGACGGTTTTTAGGGGAGGTTGCGGGCGGGGAAAATTAGGGCGGGAAAAGTTAGGCGGCAGGGGGAAAAACCGTATGGTTTTTCCCCCTGCCGCCTAACTTTTCCCGCCCTAATTTTCCCCGCCCGCAACCTCCCCTAAAAACCGTCTGCTACGCAGGCTACGGAAGATCGCGCTTCAGTCTCTCACATAGTGGTTAGCTGCGCACAGGGGCGCACATTAGGGG